ATCTGAATTTTTATTATTATTTTCACACACATTATTAGTATTTAAAGCTAAATTATTTTCTTTAATATTATTTTTATGACACGCAGAATCCGCATGTCTTAAAATATGTGTATTGCACGAAAAATTTTTATTGCATATACAATAATAAAGACTATCGTCGGATGGTACTTTGCGTATCCAAGATTTATATCGATCATCATTGAGCCAAGCATCTGAAAAACTTCGCTTAAATTTTTTTTTCAATTCATCCCTCATTTTTGTGAAACAAAAAATAGACAGAAACAAAAAATTAAAGAAGCTAAAGATGAAAAATGAGATATATATATATATATATATATATATATATATATATATATATATATAGAAATTTGAAATAATCAGAACTCACACACAAATCGGGATTGTGACAGGTCTTGAAAACCAAGATTTCAAAGCACGTATAAAAAAATACGTTTACTTGATAGTACAAGGCGACAAGATTATCTGATAAAAATAAATGCCGCGAAATAAATGAACGGCGTAAAACAAATTAAACGGCATGAAACAAATAAACAAATGCCGAGTGTGTCTCATTGTCTGTTCATCCAAGCACGGCGACAGATCGAACATGTCTCGTAAGTAAATCATTATTTATACAAAGATATTAAGAAATAATTTAATCTTTAATTTCTATTTTAATTTTTTTCTTCATAATTTTATAGAAGATATTAATGAAGAGATGGACGCTTTGGTGCTGCAAGATGCTGCGCAGCCAACGATGCAGCAGCTGATGCAACAAATGTTGCATCAGCAACATTTGTTGCATCAGCTGCAAATATTTATGCAGCAGCAGCAGCAGCAGCAGCACCACCAGCACTAGTACCAGCAGCAGCAGCAGCCGCCGCCGCCGCCGCCGCCGCAGTCGTCGCAACCGCAGCCGCAGGAAGAGGAACAACAGCAGGAACAAAATGGTACATTATTTTTTATATTAAATTATATTTAATGAAATTATATATATACAGGGTGTCCCACATAGAAGTGGCCATCCCCTTTTATCTTTTAAACTAAAAGAGATAGACCATAACAAATATATATGAAATTAAATGGCTTTAACTGAGCTTTATTGTGAGTATAGTGGTTGATTACAAAATTTATTTGTATTAAAGAACGGAGAGATATGTATAATTTTTTTATAATAATGTAGATATTTTGATATAATAAAAGTTGTAGCGCTGTTTGAAACGAATATAACGATGTATAATTTAATGTAAATATTTTACATATTATACGAGATTTTCCGGCTTGAATTATCGCGGGCGACGTCCACCATTTCATTTTCGGCCTTGCGATATAGCCAACTTCTGACTGAGTATCATAATTAAATGACAACATGACATATGTCAACCTCTAATGCACGAGTCAGAAGTTAGCTATATCGCAGGACCGAAAATGAAATGGTGGACTTCGCCCGCGATATTTCAAGCCGGAAAATCTCGTATAATATGTAAAATATTTACATTAAATTATACATCGTTATATTCGTTTCAAAGCGCTACAACTTTTATTATATCAAAATATCTACATTATTATAAAAAAATTATACATATTTTTCCGTTCTTTAATAAAAATAAAGTTTGTAATCAACCACTATACTCACAATAAAGTTCAGTTAAAGCCATTTAATTTCATATATATTTGTTATGGTCTATTTCTTTTAGTTTAAAAGATAAAAGGAGATGGCCACTTTTAGGTGGGACACCCTGTATATATATATATATATATATATATATATATATATATATATAATAATTTGTTTTATTTTTCAGAAAATAAAGAAAATAAAAGAGGAGGCGGGAAGGCCTGTGCCCGCTGGTATGCTCAGCGCGGCAGGGCTGGCGGTCGAGGAGGCGACCGAGGGCGAAGAGGCGGCTGGGCCCGAGGAGGCGGCTGGGCCCGAGGAGGCGACTGGGCCAGAGGAGGCGGTTGAGCCCGAGGAGGCGGTTGGGCCCGAGGAGGCGATCGAGGCCGACAAGGCGGCTGGGGCCGAGAAACAGTTATTAAAAATTATTATTACTATTAATATTATAAATAAAATTAGAAATAAAAAAATAATTTATAATTCATGGAATATTTATTTATCATAGAATACTTATTCCTTTTATCCTTTATTCGTAGATATTTTTTTCTCATATATCAATACAATGTGGTATAATAGGGCTCTAGGCGAAGATCCACATAAAAAAATCTAACGCGCCATTGGTGATACCCCGTGGGTGGTGTGGAAAATCGCCACTCATTAAATTTTTTTATTTTATTATTTTAAATGTATATATATATATATAGAGAGAGAGAGAGAGAGAGAGAGAGAGAAAACAAGTGTTAAATTATTATAAAAAACTAAATAGTTTTATAATATATTTTTGTAATATAATTAGTACATATTTATATTTGTACATATATTTGTATAATATATTTATAATGTATATACAGGGTGGGCCATTTTAAGTGATCCACTCAAATATTTCGGAAAATAATGAAAAATCAAAAAAATGTTTCAGATAAAAGTTGTATGGCTTGAAAGAGGCCATCAGATAGTGGCAATGATTTGACCTTGGAGAGTCATTTGAAGATGACGTAAAGGTAACCTTCAATTTCTTAAATGGAACTCCCTATTTTTATTACATATTCGTGTAGCTTATCTCGAGAGCTTTCCAAAACACTATAATAAAGTATTTCTTCATTGAGTACTTTTCGAGTTATGAGGCTTGAAATCATTTCTTAATTTTGTATAAACCGTAAAATATCTAGTAAAATATTCATTTTTCGATTATCTTGCTTTAATACTTTTATGTACAAAATAATGAGAGGAATCAATTGGTGTAAAGAAAACACATAGTTATTTTTAAGAAAAAATATGTAATTTTCAATTAACAATTACATATTTTTTCTTTGAAACAACTATGTGTTTTTTTTACACCAATTGATTTCTCTCATTATTTTGTACATAAAAGTATTAAAGCAAGATAATCAAAAAATAAATATTTTACTAGATATTTTACGGTTTATACAAAATTAAGAAATGATTTCAAGCCTCATAACTCGAAAAGTACTCAATGAAGAAATACTTTATTATAGTGTTTTGAAAAGCTCTCGAGATAAGCTACACGAATATGTAATAAAAAATAGGGAGTTCCATTTAAGAAATTGAAGGTTACCTTTACGTCATCTTCAAATGACTCTCCAAGGTCAAATCATTGCCACTATCTGATGGCCCCCTTCAAGCCATACAACTTTTATCTGAAACATTTTTTTGATTTTTCATTATTTTCCGAAATATTTGAGTGGATCATTTAAAATGGCCCACCCTGTATATATATATATATATATATATATATATATATATATATACATTATAAATATATTTATAAATATATATATATATATATATATATATATATATATATATATACATTGTAAATGTATTAGAAGGTATATATATATATATATATATATATATTATAAATATATTAAATATTAGATATATATATATATATATATATATATATATATATATATATTATACAAATATATTATAATTATTTAAATATTATTCTTTATAATATGTTTATAATATGTATGTGTATACATATATATATACAGATACATATTCTAAACATATTATACAATAAAAATGCTGTAAAAGAAACATTGAGCGCATATCGAAATATCGAGGAGCGTGACGCGTCGCGTGTTGCCCGTCTTTCGGTAGGAAGGAGACAGAAGACTGTATTCTGTCCTCTTCTTCTATCCGAAGCTAGTCGAAACGCCGAGCTCACACGTACGCTTACGCTTACATCCTCATTACCCCCTCCACGCCGTGTTGCATGTTGCTTGCGGCGGAGATCTGGCGGCTTTGCAACGCGATTGATCGAAACCTTAAACGTCGTCTACAATGGCAGTAGGATTAATGGATTAAAGTTGTAACTTAAGGAATTGATCAATCACAAAGAGCAAGCATTAAGAGAATACTCGATTGATTAATGGATTAAAGCTGTAACTCGAAAAATTGACCAATCATAATCGAGTATTCTCTTAATGCTTGACTGTGATTGGTCAATTCTTTAAGTTACAACTTTAATCCATTAAACTTACTGCCATTGTACATGATTGTCACAATGGCCTTGTACGACATACGTTTTTCTCTGTGTTACTTTACGTCCACGACTACGACAGACATCTAGTTCTCTGCCATCAGCCTTACTTTGTGTCCATGACTACGACAGATATCTAGTTCTCTGCCATCAGCCTTATGTCCATAGACTTACTAGAATAGACTGCTCATGAAGGTAGTGGGGGTATCCGTCACTGAGAAAAGGATAACTGTCGTTAATATGAGTTTCTATCTCTTCCTAATGCAGAGTGAGGAAGCATAACAACCAATAACGGTGTCAGAGCGTGAGTGTCATAGTATGCGTATTGTCGATGTGAGCTAAGTCACACCCATTAGAAAGAGATAGAAACTCATATTAACGACAGTTATCCTTTTCTCAGACGGATACTCCCACTGCCATAATGAGGGCTCATGAGCAGTCTATTCCAGTAAGGCTGATGGCAGAGAACTAAACGTGAGTGCTTACGTCTGTCGTACTTGTGGATGTAAAGTAAGGTAGAGAAAAATATACATGCTATTTACGTATTCGTTTTTCTCTGTCTTATTTTACGTCCACGACTACGACCGTTCTCTGCTAAGTCTATGGTTATGTCTTATGGAAAGTGTGTGCTATAAGCGGCCTTTTCATTGACGCTACGTTTTAGCGTCAATAAAAAGGCCGCTTTAAGATGCGGCCTCATTGACGCTAAAAAGTAGCGTCAACCATTGGTTGAACAAAGAAGTAAGTAGTTGCTTCTTTGTTCAACCAATTGTTGACGCTACTTTTTAGCGTCAATGAAATTGCACCTTTATGTGTGATGGCCTTTATTCTATTCTATCAAATAATCTCGAATTCCCGCCAAAACTTTAGTGCTGCGTAGCGCATGCGTGAAAAAACGAACTATCTCGATCGTCTAACAATACTGTGTATGATTATATCGTGGTCAAACACAATCAATCGTTTCTGAGTTATCGCAGCATATGGTTGTGTTGAGAAAGATCTTATCATTTTTGCTGAAAATTTGCTGAAAATTTCTGAAAATATTTCGAAATGGGTCATGAAGGAGAAGTCGTCCACATTCAGAATTCCGTAAGTAGTAATAGAATCATTAATTGTCAATAAATAATCTCTATTCACATGAATCACTAAATGTACATAGTCAGAACAGCTTACACGGATGTATGCAAGATAACCTTGATGTGAAAAGAGCTGTGTACACATACGCAAGTTCAATCTATTACAATGTTGCCAGACATCAAAGATATAATTGTTTTGTACAATTATACGTACATTTTATTTTTTATAAAAAAATTATATATTTCTAGATCGAGTTAATATTTTTAAATTGTGTATAATCATTTTCTATATATATATATATATATATATATATATATATATATATATATATAGAGAGAGAGAGAGAGAGAGAGAGAGAGAGAGAGAGAGAGAGAAAGAGAGAGAAAAGATATGTATAATACTGCTTCTGTTACATACTATGAGAAACGTAGAATAATTGTGCGAATAAAGCAGTAGTCTGGCAACATTGCGCGTTCCAATGTGTCCGCGGACATATCGTGTGATAATTTTCTTAGTAAACTTATTTCGGATCGATTCTCTCGTCCTTGAGAATAATCGATTCTATTACACATTATTCTGTGAAGTTTTTCATTGTCAATATTCCAACGCAATTCTTACGAAATAGCTCTTCGAACATACATCACTCATGGAGACGAATGATTCATTGAACATTACGTCAATCTTAAACAATTTTAATTATACTATCGTTCCATTATGGAATCTTTGCCAACCCGAAACAGTGTATGACGTGATTATTATCCGGATGCTTTTTCATCGGCGTGATAATTGAACATAATCATCGTCAAGATATTATACAGTAACATTATATTAATATAGTGAACATATAGTGGATAACAAGTATATATTGAAAATTATATTTATTTAATTAAAGATTTACTTATATTAATTTCATTCTAAATTATTATATCAGAAGCGAAAATTAATGATTTTTTTCTTGCGAAATGTATCAAAATAATAAATTTTTTTGAATATTATTTCGATTCATGTTCGATAATAGATGGAGATATTTATTTCTTGCTTTTTAGCTTTATAAAAGATTTTACAAAAATTTTGCAGTGCATACAATGTAATATATAATATGCATATAAAATATAAGTTTTATGTAATAATGTCTTTTATCTAATTAATGTTTAATAATTTGATGTAATATATAATATGCATATAAAATATAAGTTTTAACAGTAACAATGTCTTTTAATCTAATTAATGTTTAATAATTTAATTTGACTTAACTAAATTTCTATATATAATATAATTATACAATATAATATATAATTCTATATAATATAATTATACAAGATTTTTTTATTATTTCTATTTCAATATTTTTCTTCATCCAATTAATATCCTCTCTTTCTTTCCCAAAACTTGATTCATTCTTATACTATTTCTTATTTTTATGATACAATTTGTTGCGTTAATGTTTCGACTTTCTTCTGACATCCTGCATATATTCTTTTTCCGTTCATGCCAAAATTTATTATTGAATTTTTTTGTTGTTTCTACATCTAAATCTTGCAATCATATTTTGAAAAATCTTTCTAATCTTGTTTCCGTAAATATTCTGTATGTATATGATTAGAATCATGTAAAACCTTCTATATTATCTTATATTTTATTTGGAATTCTGAATTCTCTTATCTTGTTGTATTTGTTTTTTAATTTCTACATCTCTTTCGAATAACTATACTTATATCTCAAATTTTTTCTTAATCTTTTTTAACTTTCATTTCTTCAATAATATACATTAAATAATAAAATACGCCGAAAATCTTTTTCGTTTTTTATTATTTTGCATTAATAAGTGCATGCATAATTCATCTAGAGATGTTTTACATTTTTAAAGAAAATGAATTTTATAGTAACGACTGAAATTTATTATTCTATTAGCTATTTATTATTCACAAATCAAAAATAAATTTTTGGAATATATTTTATTAAACAAACGTGATAACGTATATTCAAAAAATCTTATTTATTTTAAATTCGCGCACACACACACTATGAGAAAGTCTTTAAAAATTGGATATGCAATTTATTTCATTCATGTTTTAAAAATCTATGTAGCGATAAATATATTAAAGATTGTTATATTTATGAGGATTTATATGCTGAGCTAGAATATTTTATTGTATTTTTAAGAAATATAGAAACTACAGGAATAATCAGTAATAATTTCAAAGAAATATAGAGATAATATCTTCAATTCACAAAATAATATCATCTCTTAAAAAGAAATATGTATACATATTTCTTGCATTTGTATAACTAA